TAGGATGAATATTTATAAGCCCATAAATTCACTTGAACATCATGTAGGGAGAACACAACCAGAATACATTGGACAATACAAGTGACCTTGTTCTACTGCATTGTGGAAATACTGTCCTGCCTCACGATTCAGTAGCTGCTATTAAAAGGTTATAGAGAAAGACCCTTTGGACCATCACGTCCATGTTGACAAAAACTACCACCTAGTCTAATCCCATTTTCCAGCTCTTGGCCCATAACCATGTCAGCCTTGGTATTGCAAGTGCAAGTCTTTTTGCTTTGTATTCAACCTGTACACAGTCTATTACATATCTCTGGAACAGGTGGGGCCTGTACCCAGTTCTCCTGGTCCTGAGGTAGAGTCGCTGCCACTGTGCCGCAAGAACAAGTCTTATCAAAATAAAAGAGCCCTAGCAATGGTCAGGAGGACTTGCACCGTTTTAATGTCCAGGTCCCAGTCAGTCCTGCAGTCACACTGTGTCCCAGAGTGAAACACTGTATTCGATCCAGAACTATATCCCATCATCTCTCTGTCTCAACAGCAGTGCCGCTACAGCACTACCCACACTTCCGGACAGAGAGCACACCACATGCCGCAGCGGCCGGCTCATGTCTGGGGGAACAGAGGGACCCCAAGCCGAATCGCAACTCTATACTGATCTCTCAGCACCGCCCTGCTGCAACTAGCCAATTTCGAAACATAGCTGGCAACCTTAGTTTGGAAAAATAAAAGCTACTTTCTGAACGGACAGGGTTCCTCTCCACCTATCCTCTCCTCTATCCATCTTCTATCCGCCTCCCCCTCTCTCCCTATTTATTTCAGAACGCCCTTCCCCTCCCCCATTTCTGATGAAGGGTCTAGGCCCGAAACGTCAGCCTTTCTGCTCCTATGATGCTGCTTGGCCTGCTGTGTTCATCCAGCTCTGCACCTTGTTGTCTCGGATTCTCCAGCATCTGCAGTTCCTACTATCTCTGATTCAATTTTAACCCCACTGCGAAGCCTCTTCTAAGGATGTCTAGCCTGAAGAAGTTACCTTCCTCCCTCCAGACAAACCTCAGGGGATCTCTCTCCCACTGCAACTCTCTCATAATCTCTTCGGCCTTGAAACTGCTCGACCATGTCCTGAAGCAAACCAGGTACTACAGCCACATCACCTTTCTTAGTACCTGCCTATGGAACCAGATCATCCCCAATGGACTACAATCCACATTCAAGCCTTCCCAATTTGGCCCCAACTGTGACAATATCTACATTCATGGCATTGAGATCCTTCAGAAGCGTTTCTCCCTGCAACTCCTGAAACACACACTTGCAGCAATGCACCGGCATCTCCAGGTACTACAATCAAGCCTACCCCAGCTCAGTGCCTCCCTCTCCCAGACCTGCAAAGGACCTCTCCTGTTTTTCATTCTTCGTAGGATCCACAACCTGAACTCACAATTCTACTCAGCTTTATTGGACACTAAAAACCGTAAGTACAGTAAACTTACTGGTGCCCACCACCCAAAACGGACTTCCTCCACCCCCCAAATCCCCAGCCCTACCCAGGACCTTCCCCACAATGTGCCCGCCACCATTGGCCATAAGGCTACTGTCAGGGAACCCACAGATGACATCACATCCGCCACCGCCGGGTACCCCACTTCCGGGACAGCGAACGCCATCGCTGCCGATGCCACCGCCTCCATTTCTGAGACCAACACCACAGACACTGAAGTCGCGCCTACCGTCACCGCTGCTGCCGCCGCCTACCCCGCTCCCCCCACTGCCGACGCCGCTCCACCCATCACCGACGTGGACGCAACTCCGCCCACCCCAACGCAACTCCGCCCATAGCCTACGCCAACGCAACTCCACCCACCGCCAATGCAACTCTGCCCACAGCTGACACCAACGTCGCTCCGCCCACAGCCAACGCGGGTGTCACTCTGCCCGCGGCCAGCAGCTCCAGAGGAGACAGCAACACTCAGCCCTGCCGAGTCTTCACCATCCCCCCAGACCTCCCCGTTACTGAGGACGAGCGGTCAGTCCTCAGTAAAGGGCTTACCTTTGTCCCCCTCCACCCACACATCAACGAATACCGCTCATGTTTGGACATAGAGCAGTTTTTCCGCCACCTCCGCCTCCACGCTTACTTCTTTAACCGTGAACCTAACCCTCCCTCTACTGACCCCTTCTCCCACCTCCAACACACCCCCTACTCCTGGACACCACCCCAAGGCCTCCTACCCTCCCTTGACCTCTTCAACTCCAACTGCCGTCGAGACATCAATCGCCTCAACGTTTCCACCCCTCTCACCCACTCCAACCTCTCCCCCGCAGAACGTGCAGCCCTCCACTCCCTCCGCTCCAATCCCAACCTCACCACAAAACCCGCGGACAAGGGAGGCGCAGTTGTAGTATGGCGCACTGACCTCTACATCGCCGAGGCCAGACGCCAACTCTCCGACCTCCTCCTACCGCCCCCTTGATCGTGACCCCACCCCCCCGACCACCAAACCATCATCTCCCAAACCATCCACAACCTCATCACCTCAGGTGACCTCCCACCCACGGCCTCCAACCTCATTGTTCCCCAACCCCGCACCGCCCGCTTCTATCTCCTTCCCAAAATCCACAAACCTGAATGCCCTGGTCAACCCATTGTCTCCGTCTGCTCCTGCCCCACTGAACTTATCTCCAACTATCTGGACTCCATTTTCTCCCCCTTGGTCCAGGAACTCCCTACCTATGTCCGTGACACCACCCACGCCCTCCACCTCCTCCAGAACTTCCAATTCCCCGGTCCCCAACACCTCATCTTTACCATGGACGTCCAGTCCCTATATACCTGCATTCCCCATACAGATGGCCTAAAGGCCCTCCGCTTCTTCCTGTCCCACAAGCCCGACCAGTCCCCTTCCACTGACACCCTCATCCGCTTAACCAAACTCGTCCTCACCCTCAACAACTTCTCTTTCAATTCCTCCCACTTCCTACAGACAACAGGGGTGGCCATGGGTACCCACATGGGCCCAAGCTACGCCTGCCTCTTTGTAGGTTACGTGGAACAATCCCTCTTCCGTACCTACACCGGCCCTAAACCCCACCTCTTCCTCCGTTACATTGATGACTGTATCGGCGCCGCCTCGTGCTCCCACGAGGAGCTCGAACAGTTCATACACTTCACTAACACCTTCCACCCCAACCTTAAGTTCACCTGGACCATCTCTAATACCTCTCTCTCCTTCCTGGACCTCTCTGTCTCCATCTCGGGCAACCACCTAGAAACCGATATCCATTTCAAGCCCACCGACTCCCACAGCTACCTAGAATACACCTCCTCCCACCCACCTTCCTGCAAAAATGCTATCCCCTATTCCCAATTCCTTCGCCTCCGCCGCATCTGCTCCCAGGATGAGGCATTCCACTCCCGTACATCTCAGTTGTCCTCGTTTTTCAAGGACCATAACCTCCCCGCCTCAGTGGTCAAGAACGCCCTCAACCGTGTCTCCCACATTTCCCGCAACTCATCCCTCACACCCAGTCCACGCAACAAGAACCAAAAAAGAATCCCCCTCATCCTCACGTACCACTCCACCAACCTCCGGATCCAACGCATCATCCTCCGACACTTCTGCCGTCTGCAATCCGACCCCACCACCAAAGACATCTTTCCCTCCCCACCCTTATCTGCTTTCCGGAGGGACCACTCTCTCCGTGACTCCCTTGTCCGCTCCACACTCCCCTCCAGCTCCACCACACCCGGCACTTTTCCCTGCAACCGCAGGAAGTGCTACACCTGCCCCCATACCTCCTCCCTCACCCCCATCCCAGGCCCCAAGAAGACTTTCCGTATCAAGCAGATGTTCACCTGCAATCTGCCAATGTGGTATACTGCATCCGCTGTACCCGTTGTGGCCTCCTCTACATCGGGGAAACCAAGCGGAGGCTCGGGGACCGCTTTACAGAACACCTACGCTCGGTTCGCAATAAACAACTGCACCTCCCAGTCGCGAACCATTTCAACTCCCCCTCCCATTCCTCAGACGACATGTCCATCCTGGGCCTCCTGCAGTGCCACAACCATGCCACCCGAAGGTTGCAGGGTGGCAGGAACAGCAACTCATATTCTGCTTGGGAACGCTGCAGCCCAATGGTATCAATGTGGATTTCACAAGTTTCAAAATCTCCCCTCCCCCTACCGTATCCCTAAACCAGTCCAGCTCGTCCCTGCCTCCCTAACCTGTTCTTCCTCCCACCTATCCCCTCCTCCCACCTCAAGCCGCACCCCCATCTCCTACCAACTAACCTCATCCTGCCCCCTTGACCTGTCCGTCCTCCCTGGACTGACCTATCAACTCCCTATCTACACTCACTTTTACTGGCTCCATCCCCACCTCTTCGACCTGTTTGTTTCCTCTCCACCTATCCTCTCCTCTATCCCTCTTC